GCACCACAGGCATCCCCCCTCCAAAACCCCCCAGCAACCCCAATCTCGGTTGCCCATTGATCGCCGTCCGCCTCCCCCCTTAGGATTTTGTGAAATTGTTGTTTTTGGATTGATTGCAGGAGTTTGTTATGGAAGGAGAATGATTGATTTTGAAGTGTTTTTGATTTTTTGATTGATTGTAGCTTTTTTTACAGCCATTTCATCTCGCTGCCGACCTTACCATTAAGATATGAGGATTATTTGAGAGAAATTTGAGATATAGGAGTTATTTTGAGAGAAAACTAACAGTGTTAATTTAAGAGTGAGAATCTGAAATTTATGAAACTAGGGGTGGAAACTTACAAATTCGTAGATTCGCCAAACCTTGGGTGGGTAAAATTTACTTTTAATAAGGCTAGCCCAGGTTTTAATGTGCTGACCCAAGTTCAACAGCGTTGCCCTATTAAGTTCTTTTAGGCCGATCACTGATGAGTTTAGGATGGTTGGGCCGAATGACGGCCCATCCCTAGCCATCCCTTCACAGGAATTTTGTGGTTCTGGACTAGGCTTGAAATAGGGTCTTAATCACAACAATGGCTATCACACAGTGTCAGTGACTCTAAAACTTGCAAATCTTTTTCTCAACTATACTTCATCGTCTAGTAATTTCAGTTAAAGACTGAGATACATTATCGTCCTCAACTATGGCCCCAAATTAGGTCAAATTTAAAGGGTTGCCTAATGCCTACCAATTATTTTTATGGAACATTAGTGCCTTTTAACTTGTTTTTTCTGTCTTCAAAATGCCCCATTTGCACCTGAATCCATTGGATACTATCCTACCACGTGTTACCCTTTGGCATTTGAAACCCATTAGCTACTGTCCTAACTCTTGGTCACCCCTTTGCAATTGAGATCCATTATTTCTTATCCTACCGGCTGGATCATCCATCATTCTCATATTGCTTCTCCAATCCACTTTTCAGCCAAGCAAGGTTGCTTATGTCTGTGCTAGGAAGCCAATTCGTAACTGGAAAGCTTGGAGGCTCTGAGAATTCCAAAAATTCAGGTCCCAACAGAGTTTTGACAAATTCCACCACATTGTATCCCACAACAGCCATAGCCACACAAGTGAGGCACCATCCGCTCACTGTACACTCCTTCAATCAATTTGCAGATCCCAGCACTGGTAGTGATCTTGAACAAGAGGTCCTTGCATTGGTGTTTGCCTTGGATGTGTGGAAACAATCTCAGGGCCATCCACAGTATTATAACATTGAAAGCACTTACACGTGCCTGTGGCGGAAAAGAGTAGGTTGTTCTTTTAGTTCATGATCAAGATTAGATGAAACCTCTGTTATGTGTTTGTCTGCACAATGATTATTCAAAATTTCCAAAGACATACATCTTTTCCCTCCAAGGATTTAAATGAATTTCAATCACCGTAAGATGAGTTTCTTCAGATGATGCTTTGGTCCTATCGATGCTTGTATCCTCCAGATATTTCCAGATTCGAACTTCTTTACCCTGTCAAGTTCCATAGCCCGACGCCTTAGAGTGGAATCCAGTGATAATAGCTTAATTATCGTCCTCCCTGGTAAAGCCAGCAATGACTGCCCATTTGTTCCCATGGATAGCATGAGCTGCATATATTTGATCTTCCTCATCTGAAATGATTTTGCTTCTGTCACCCAGCAGTCAGTAAGCTCTAACATAAAATTAATTCAATAAACGCAAGCTGAGAAAGTTCATGCCAACACTTCTAATATAGTTTTCACACTTTTAAAATGTGTGCCATAAACTTAAAAGCATGATTGTCTAAACAGGATAGTAGATAGGGGCCTTAACTAACCACTAATAGTCTCTCTATTACCATCAGACTCAATACAGGATATTTTCACCTATGCAAGGAAGATAAAAATGCTAGATGGAGCATGCATGCACACAAATCATAGAACTGTAGGTGCAGCTGCACCCAAATTATGAACTAACTTTGTACGTCAGTAATAACAGTGTAGCCAAAATTAGAGACCAGAAAAATTAATATAGCATAGATCTTAACAGGGATCTAATACATATATATAAGAGAAGAATTCTCTCACATCTCAATAGATAACTATCTAAGTGTGCAATGCAGAGGCATGCTGCGTCAACCAAACCCACTTCGTTTCTTTAAAATCGGAAAAATACCAGGTTGATTATGCCTCATTGCAAAACCTGTATTGCGTTATTAGTTTCTATATTCTATGTTCCTCCTTATGTTTCAACATCTTTGTTCTTTTCACCATTTCGACCATATACACTGCCCGTCGACATAGAAAATTCACAAACTTGTGTAGCTACGCACATTTCAGGGTACATGCTTCTTTTATTATTATTTTATTATAAACAATAAAAATAAAACATGGCACCAATCTTCAAAGACTGCACCAGAACAAAGTTAAAAGATATAACACTGATAATTCAAAAGTAACTTGTAGCAAGATCAGCTTGACAATAAAACATCAAATCACATTATAAAAATAACCTCAATATAAAAACTAATTGAAAAGATTTTCACACATTGAGAACATAACAAATTCAAGTATAAAATAACCTCAAATATAAAAACTAAATTGAAAGAATTTTCAATCCACATTGAGAACATATACTGTCAATATTAGATGGTGGTGGGGTAAGTTAATTTAGTTGATGCAAATCGAAGAGTTAGTACAAGAAACAGTTTAATTTATAATTGGATTCCTTCAGTTGTGTTTATGATGTTCCATTTCTTGTTCCTTAGCTTTCAGTAGAGCAGATTGGTAGGCCCTTAACAAATCAGTTCATTCGGTTCCGTTTTGAGTCATCTGGGGACCATTTCAGTTTGTTTACCAAATATTAACCGAAAAAATAGGCACCCAACAAACCCTAATCGGAAATGGTTGGTATGCTTAAAACCCAAAACCCTAAATCTAAGAACTTGAAAGTTGAAACATGTTGATGTTTGATTTTGACACCAACGACTCGCAGGTGCAAAATGCTAAGAGAATCTTAGAAATTACACGTGATAAATTCATAAGATTTGAATCTGGAGCTGAAATTATATATGTTTACAGAAACATAAATAAATGATTGACAAGAGAGGTTTTTATAGTGGTTCGGATACTTAAAGCAAATCTTAAATCCACTGTTATTTTATTATTCTCTGATTATTTCTATGATATTGCATGTAAAGCATACAAAGATGAAGAAATATTTTGCTTACAGAGAGAAATAATGAAACTCAAATGTTTGTCTAGCTCTCATCTGCCCAGCCTCTCCTTTTCGTGAAGAGAGGTGTCAATTTATACACCTTTGAGGTCAATGTAATGAGTGATTTTGCAAGTTGTCTTGATACACGGAAAACTCTCATCCTACCTTATCTTAAAATGAGATAGGATTGGTATAAAATATCTCTGAGACGGTATGGGTCTGACAACTAGTATACTTTGTCTTTTAGACACTTAATTTTTAGGCATAACAAAACACTCCAGGCTTCTTCACATGGGGGCTCTTTCAGATTTGTCACTGTCACACTTTAACTAAGAAGGGCTTAATGAAAATCTCTTTTCTCTAGCATCACTTGTCTTGTAGAGTCTCTATTCAGGAAAGAAGAATCTAATCTAAACACCCTTTTCTTTTTTACATGTAAAGACTAAAGAGTGAGTGAGCTGTTTGTGTCATTGAAAAAGGTTTAATGTCACTAACCATAGCACTTAGGATTTGTGACCCCAGATGCCTTCCACTTTAAATCAAACTCTATTCCTTGCCCTTGAAATTGGGTAGAGCAACAGGGAATTGTAAAGGTAATTCTATATTTTGAAATTAGTTTTGACTAGTAACGAACAAATTAATTTACTAAGCATTCTTGAAAATTTCCAACTTCAGCTCTACAAATTCGGTTAACTGTCGATACATTATAGAATAGATTCCTCTATTCCTTTTATCTGTCTGTAAGCAACTTTTCAGAGAATCACAGGTACAAACCTTAGCTATTAATATTTGTCCCTTCTACCCTATGTAATATAATCTGTAAACTTTCAAAGCTGTAAACTGTAGACACACTCAGTAGGAGGGAAAGAGAGATGCATATAATCAGAAATTTTCTTTTTTCTTTTTCAAATTCCTACATGCAATATAATCTGAACATGCTCTAAAACATACCCTTAAAAATTGGGCAGCAAAGACGTGAGTCGAGCACTAACCTAGCTGAAAAGAGCAGTAGCTTCTTATTTTGGCTATTCACCACCCCACACGGCATCCCTAATTTCTTTTTTACAGTAATCCTGGTTCAGGGACTTAGTTCCTAAATACTAGAAATTATTCAGAATTTCCATGGTAACCTGCAGATCCTATGCATGTATTCAATATGTGGAAGTTACTTTTATGTGATAAAGATACACTTACTATAGGAGCACTGATAAGAAATTCCAGGTATCTCGGCCACTTATTCAGCTATTGAATAATTCTGTACTTAGAGGCCACGTCATTTAATGGCTCGCAGGAAGGTAGCGAGGAAATTATCATTAAAAGGCGACAGCCAACAAGTGTTATTTTAGATGGGAGATAAATTGTAGGATCTCAGCTACTTATTCAGATATGAACTTTGCACAAATGTGATAAAAAGCTCATTTTGAGGAAGTAAGACAGAATTTCCATGTAAATCTTAACATTATACAAGATGAATAAATAATGATTCTTGTAAAATCATCATTACTGGAGCTACTAACATGCAATGCAAATGTTAAATATGTTGATCTGGCATGACCAAGCCTGGCTGAAATGAAACAGAATACATTCAATTATAATCAGAACATATACCAAATATCTCTGAAGTCTGATCCCACTTTACGAAATTTAACAATCAATCTGTGATGTAAATATCCATCACCATATCCACTGAAGAAACCATAAAACTCTTGTTGTATTCTGTACCATATCTGATCCTTAGTACAATGAAGAAAACAGGCCATCATTCCCAGATTAATTAGTCTAAATAAGGCACCCAAGCAAACTAAAAGCTATTCCAAAGCCTCTACTTCAAACCTTCATCATCGTTCTAGTATCAGTGACTTCTAAATAGCAGTAACAGGTCTTTGATAGGCATGTTTAGGTCATTCTTAATCACACAATGGCTATCACACAGTGTCAGTGACTCTAAAACTTGCAAATCTTTTTCTCAACAATACTTCAGCTTCTAGTAATTTCAGTTAAAGACTGAAATACATTCATCGTCCTCAACTAATGGCCCCAAATTAGGGTCAAAATTTAAAGGGTTGCCTAATGCCTACCAATATATTTTTATGGAACATTAGTGTCTTTTAACTTGTTTTTTCTGTCTTCAAAATGCCCCATTTGCACCTGAGATCCATTGGATACTATCCTACCACTTGTTATACCCTTTGGCATTTGAAACCCATTAGCTACTGTCCTAACATCTTGGTCACCCCTTTGCAATTGAGATCCATTAGTTCTTATCCTACCGGCTGGATCATCCATCATTCTCATATTGCTATTCTCCAATCCACTTTTCAGCCAAGCAAGGTTGCTTATGTCTGTGGCTATGGAAGCCAATTCGTAACTTGGAAAGCTTGGAGGCTCTGAGAATTCCAAAAATTCAGGTCCCAACAAAGAGTTTTGACAAATTCCACCACATTGTATCCCACAACAGCCATAGCCACACAAGTGAGGCACCATCCGCTCACTGTACACTCCTTCAATCAATTTGCAGATCCCAGCATCTGGTAGTGATGCTTGAACAAGAGGTCCTTGCATTGGTGTTTGCCTTGGATGTGGTGAAACAATCTCAGGGCCATCCACAGTATTATAAACATTGAAAGCACTTACACGTGCCTGTGGACGGAAAAGAGTAGGTTGTTCTTTTAGTTCATGATCAAGATTAGATGAAACCTCTGTTATGGTGTTGTCTGCATAATGATTATTCAAAATTTCCAAAGAACATACATCTTTTCCCTCCAAGGATTTAAATGAATTTACATCACCGTAAGATAGAGTTTCTTCAGATGATGCTTTGGTCCTATCGATGCTTGTATCCTCCATGATATTTCCAGATTCGAACTTCTTTACCCTGTCAAGTTCCATAGCCCGACGCCTTAGAGTGGAATTCCAGTGATTCTTAATAGCATTATCTGTCCTCCCTGGTAGAAGCCTAGCAATGACTGCCCATTTGTTCCCATGGATAGCATGAGCTGCAATTATAATTTGATCTTCCTCATCTGAAATGATTTTGCTTCTGTCAGCCCAGCAAGTCAGTAAGCTCTAACATAAAATTAATTCAATAAACGGCAAGCTGAGAAAAGTTGCATGCCAACACTTCTAATATAGTTTTCACACTTTTAAAATGTGTGCCATAAACTTAAAGAGCATGATTGTCTAAACAGGATAGTAGATAGGGGCCTTAACTAACCACTAAATAGTCTCTATTACCATCAGACATCAATAACAGGGATATTTTCACCTATGCAAGGAAGCATAAAATGCTCAGATGTAGGCATGCATGCACACAAAATCATAGAACTGTAGGCATGCATGCACACAAAATTATAGAACTAACTTTGTACGTCAGTAATAACAGTTGAGCCAAAATTAGAGAACCAGAAATAATTAATATAGCATAGATCTTAACAGGGATCTAAATACATATATATAAAGAGAAGAATTCTCTCACATCTCAATAGATAACTATCTACGTGTGTAATGCTAGAGGCCTGCGTCAACCAATACCCAACTTCAGTTTCTTTAAAATCGGAAAAATAGCAGGTTGATTATGCCTCATTGCAAAACCTGTATTGCAGTTATTAGTTTCTATATTCTATATTCCTCCTTATGTTTCAACATCTTATGATTCTTATCCATAGTTTCTACCATATAACATGCACACAGTCGACATAGAAAATTCACAAACTTGTGTAGCTACAGCAACATTTCAGGGGTTAGACATGCTTCTTTTATTATTATTATTATTATTAACAATAAAAATAAAAACATGGCTCCAAATCTTCAAAGACTGCAACCAGAAAACAAAGTTAAGAAGATATAACACTAATAATATCAAAAGTAACTTGTAGCAAGATCAGAGCTTGAACAATAAAACAACATTAACAAATTCAAGTATAAAAATAAACTCAAATATAAAGACTAAATTGAAAAGAGTTTTCAATCCACATTGAGAACATAACAAATTCAAGTATAAAAATAACCTCAAATATAAAAACTAAATTGAAAAGAATTTTCAATCCACATTGAGAACATATATCCTGTCAATATTATAAAATTTACCAGTAAATGGCTTGCGTTTAACAGCTGGGTCAAGCTGATTACACCACCTGAGCCGACAAGACTTGCCGGAGCGACCGGAAATTCCTCGGGCGATCAAGCTCCAATTCCTCGCTCCGAACTTGCTCACAAGGTTGCTCAATATTGTGTCCTCTTCGGGCAACCAAGGCCCCTTCACTCGGTCTTTGTTGCCTCTTCTGCTTCCCTCTCCGACAACTACTACAGAATCGTCGCCGCTTCCGCCGTCGTCACATACGCCCTCGGCTGCAGCTTCTCCACCGTCTGCGGTGTCATCGCATCCGACTTGATTGCTGTTTCCATTTCGCTTCCTTTTGTTTTTGAATTTTTGTTGGTAAGACACCGGACTCACTTGACTTGAAGTGTGATGTAAAGACTGCTCTGCATTTATAGGGCAACTGTTTCCAATTCATTTCTTGTAATTACCATGGTACCATACTGTAAATTATATTCACTAGTTCCTTTTCTTTTTTATTTGTTTGCTTTAATTTTAACTTTGTTGTGTGTAAATCCCTGGAATATATCACGTCACGTATTATTCATTTTAAGTATTTTTATTATAAGATTTTACTATTTTTTTAGTCAAATTAAGGATCAATTTCATCATATTTTGTAAACCATTTGTCCACGAAAACAGACACAAAAATATACAAAAACAGTAGGATTTGTACTAAATTATGAACCATTTTAAATCTTTTCTTTTTGTATTATTTAATTTCCAATTCATTTATCAATCTAACATTTAGATCGCAGGTTTTACACAAATTCCTATGATTTCTCCATGAGTTTTACTTCTCGCCTGTGCAAAAAACTGCATCAATACTTGACGTGGCTGAATTCTAATTAAGCGTACTATTAGAAATAAGCTTTAAATGCTGACGTTGTGCATTGAATAAATCAATAAACTTCATTTTAAGATATTTATATTTTTCTTTTATGAATTTTAAAATAAAAACAGCAAGGTTAGCGGTGTAATTTCATGTTTATAAGTGCGCAAGGTTTTGGAAAAGACGGGAGTCTGATGTTTCTGTTAATTAAGAACGAACTTTCTACAGAGGCTAGTTGACCCATCTAAGGTGGCGGGAAAACTCTAAAGCTCACTGCGCGCCCGATCACAATTGTTTGTCGATTAATAAGGCGGCAAACGACACCCCACCCAAGGTTTCGCGAATCTCTAATCCCCCCTGGTCATAAATTTAATTTTAACTTTAAATTATTGTTAATCTAATGAATAAAATGATCATTTCAAAGATAAATTTTTTAAAATAACCCTCATCTCTCAAATTCACCCCATCGAAGGATCGACGATTTCAGCCAATCTAGCCTGTTCCCGACATATTCGACCCCCCCGCCCAACATCACCATTACAATCCCTTACCCCCATATCAAAACCCTTAACCTCCTCCCTGATTGAACCCCCAATCAATGACCATCACTCTTAGTTTCAACATTTAATCCAAATATGGCTGATCCTAGCACCGTAAACCACCCTGACACCACCAAATCATCACATTCTCCCAACCAAAACCCCAACATCTTAATCACAATTACTCACCATCACCATTGCCTTTACCTTAGGGTTTCGCTCGATGGTCACACCTTTCCAACCAAATTTCGACCGATATTTGTGCCGAAAATTACTCCTGACTATGGGTGTTCGGTTTCGAGTACTTTGCATTTTTTGAAGGAATCGGAATCGGTACGACGGTTTCTTGAAATTTGGAACCGAAACTGACAGTTCCTTGAAATTTGGAACCGGAACCTATAACAACGTTCCGATTCTGGATACCCTATAAAATTTATGACCCCCAAAAATTTTTAAAATGGCAAAAAAACCTTAAAAACATACAAATACCCCCCCCCCCCCCCCCCCCCCCTAACTTGTTAACAAAAATAAAATTACAAATTATAAATTCAAAATTACAAACTTCATTACTTTGTAAAGATGGATTCTCAAAAGCCAAACCAACTTGCTTTAAATGTTATGAAATATAAATATAAATGTATTCACATTACTTTTTCTAGGGGTGTTCAAAAAAACCGGTTGGAACCGGAACCGGCGGGTATCCAGGGTTTGGTTCCGGTTCTTACCCAGAACCAATCGTCAATGGGTAGGTTCTGGTTCCAAATTTTTTGAACCGTTACTGTGCGGTTCCAGTTCCGATTCCGGTTCCTATAGTTATGAACCGGAACCAGGAATCGAGACTAATATAAAATAAAATTAAAGATTAGGGGGGTTAATAAAAACTTTTGTAGAGAAAGTAATGTGAATACATTTATATTTATATTTCATAACATTTAAACTAAGTTAGTTTGACTTTTGAGAACCTACCTTTACAAAGTAATGGAGTTTGTAATTTTGAATTTATAATTTGTAATTTTATTTTTGTTAACAAGTGCCAGGTGGGGGGGTATTTGTAAGTTTTTAAGGGTTTTTTTACCATTTAAAAAACTTTTGGGGGGTCATTGTAATTTTACAGGGTACCCAGAACCAGAACCGGAACCGTTGTTACAGGTTCTGGTTCTTGGTACCTAGGAACCGAAACCGTCGGTTTCGGTTCCGGTTCCAAATTTCAAGGAACTGTCGGTTCCAGTTCCTTAAAAAAGTGTAGGGTACCCGGAACCGAACACCCCTAACTTTTTCTACAAAAGTTTTTATTAACCCCCAACTCTTTAATTTTATTTTATATTAGTCTCGGTTCCCAGTTCTGGTTCCTAACTATAAGAACCAGAACCAGAACCGCATAGTAACGGTTCCAAAAATTTGGAACCGGAACCTACCCATTGATGACCGATTCTGGGTAGGAACCGGAACCAAACCCACATGTTCCGGTTCCAATCAGTTCTTGTGAACACCCCTACTCTTGACACCACCCATAGCACCACAGGCATCCCCCCTCTAAAACCCCCCAACAACCCCAATCTTGGTTGCCCGCTGATCGTTGACTGCCTCCCCCTGTGGGATTTTGTGAAATTGTTGTTTTTGGGTTGATTTGGAGTTTGTTTTGGAAGGAGAATGATTGGTTTTGAAGTGTTTTTTATTTTTTGATTGATTGTAGCTTTTTTTACAACCATTTCACCTCATCGTCGGCCTTACCATAATACCATTAAGATATAGGCGTTATTTGAGAGAGATTTGAGATGTGAGGATTATTTTAAGAGAAAACTAATGGTGTTAATTTAAAAATGAGAATCTGGAATTTAGGAAACCAGGGGTGGAAACCCGCAGATTCGTAGATTCGTAGGTGGGTAAAATTAGCCCAGGTTTTAATGTGCTGACCCAAGTTCAACAGCGTTGCCCTATTAAGTGCTTTTAGGCCGAACACTGATGAGTTTAGGATGGTTGGGCCGAATGACGGCCCATCCCTAGCCATCCCTTCACAGGAATTTTGTGGTTCTGGACTAGGCTTGAAATAGGGCCCGATTTTTAAAGTGTACTTATTGAGTAGTGTTACTTTAAGGAAAAAAAAAAATAATAAAGTAAACTACGGTGTGAGAATGAGATATATTAAGTTAGTCAAATAAGGTTGCTGGTTCATAGCTTTTTTACCGTGCTACCTTGGCTAACTTAATGCATTTTCGCTAATGAACACTTTCATTTGTGCATAAGATTTTTAAGTTTGTGCAAGAAATTGTTAAAAAAAAACATTTATTTTGAAAATGATAAGTGATTTTCAGATGATTCTCAAAGTGTTGTTTTAAGGAGAAACAAAACTTCCATGTTAAACAGGTTTTTGGAAGAAGCATATACACATAATAATATTCTTTCATTTGTAACTATTGATTAATTTTTTTTTCTTTTTTTATTACATGAATTTTGGAATGGGTCATTGTGAGACCATTTTGCAAACATTCAAAACTTGCGTGAAGACATCGAGAATTCCAAATATAATTTAGACGCCAACAAATATTATATGATAGATATTTGTAGGCCTAGCATATCTATTAGTTGGTGTGTACAAGAAATGTCTTCAAAGGAAGTAATATAATAAAATGTGCCTTGAACCAAATTCATTTATTTTTTTATTAATTGGTGATAGCAAAATAAAGCCACGTGCTCTAAAAATCTTCGATGCTTACCCTATATTTTTTTAATTATTTATAAATTTCTTAAAAATAATTATTTGATTCTCTAAATCTTTGATAACTTTACTTCTTTTGTAAAGCCGTGATTAATAGAACTATATTAATATATTTTATTTAAACATTGCATTGATTTAGAGTGTAAATGTGATGTCGTGAAACCTTAGAGGCTGTGAAATAATATTTAGGGGTGTAAAAGTAGTTTTCAGGAAACCTTAGAGTAGGTGAATTAGATTTTGGCCTTAGTAATAGTTATGTCTAATAAAAACACCACGACATATTGTTAGTTGTGATATTTCTGGAAGTTTTGGTAATTTATTGTAGTATGTCGAATAAATTGACCATTTTAATCGGTTGAAAAATTAAGAGTTTCCCTAACTGGGAAAATTGCAATAAATGCATTTGGTGGGTTCCGTTAGAAGATTAAAGACTGAAAGAGGCCGGAAAGCTGAAAGATAAGAAGGAGTAATCATAGTTAGCGTGTCAGGAATTAATTCACTCAAAGAACACAATACTTTTACGTCTTCTGTAATTATCCAGACCATAAAAACCTTCATGCACAAAAAGTTAGTCACATAAAGAACAAAGTGACAAAAGTAGAAAAACTGCTAACCTGATTCTATCTTTTTTTTTTTTTTCAATTTCTTTGCTGTGGTTGACTCTTATAATCTTATTCCATCAAAGACATTGGTGGAAATTCAACATTAATCTAAATTGATTGATAATAATTCAATTCAACATTAATCTAAATTGATTGATAATAATTCAATTTGTTCAATCATCAAACTATTCGATTCCTGGTGATCCGATTTCTTTAAATTAGGCATCGAAATCCAATTCAAATTACATATATACTTATACTAGTTGGGATAAATTTGTTTCAGACTACTAGTTTATGAAACACAATAAATAAGATTTTCCTTAATCACTTAAAAAAAATTTTGGGAAAAAAATTGATTTGGTCTATTTAAAGTGTTTAGGCCTCAACTAATTTCTTAAGACCGTAAAACTGCCAGTCAGTATTGATACATTTTTAAAGACTCCTGATAACAATAATCTTCGTTTTTAGAAAGACTCTTTTTAATTATATTAGTACCACGTTTTCATGTGTTATTATTGGCCAACAAACACTTAAGAATCAACTAATTCAAACACAAATTAGACCAACGTCCTTTCATTACAACCAGAACTCAACCAACAAGTGTGAATTAAAGAAGATCAGTCTGACTGAATTAAAGAATTTCAGTATCGATCTATTAAGAAAAAAGAAATTACATCATCAGATTATAATTAAATTCATGACGTTGGTATTATTATAAAAAGCCTATCGCTGTTTTCTCCCAAATGACGAAACGGGAACTGGTTTTTCCATTAATCAATCTTCTCGATCTGTTAACGGCATAATTATAATATAATGTTAGTTCTTGACCGATAAAGACATTAATCAACATCTTGATGTGATTAGATGATTAATTTGTTAATATATATCCCACTGCCGTTTCAGTTTGTTTACCAATTATGCATGCATATCATCGTTTAATAAAATAAAGTCTAAATCTGCCCACAGTATTTATAATGAGCCGACCACCAAAGTTTTACCTAATTTTTATTCACGTTTTTCATGATATAATAATTTCGAACGTTCGATAGCTCAATTATCTCGTGCACCCGATTAGGGTTAGTAGTAAACCAGAATATTAATGTACTGGAAAGTATTACCATGTTCAGAAAATTAGATTATGATTATAAAATACATTTATGGAACCATCAAGAAAGTGAAGAAAAGTACTAAGTCTGACTGGGTATTTTCCTGTGAGTGATAGTAACTACCCTTGGAAGGGAAGGCAAGTGACCAACTCTCAGCTATCTGGGAAAATAAAGTCTAGTCAGCGACTACCTAACATTTAGCCAACAATATATTAAGACAAGTCTTAAACGTTTTCTCCTTTAACCTATAAAATAATTATTTCTCAAAATATTAATAAATTCGTGATAGGTTTAGCATGCAGATGCCTGGACAAAAGTAACGAACTTGATGAAGACCTTCAGCTTCAATAATTCATTTAAATATTATCTGATCTCCATATGCCACAGTTGTGTCTTGTACACTTAGCTTTGTTTATTGATTGTGTTCTCATACTCAATGTCAAAATAAGCCAAAACTCATCGTACTATTGGTTTATTTTCCTCGGCAAAGCCATGGATTAATCATGAAGGGGTTTGAATTAATTATTTATCTTTGCCACCTGCCTATCCAAAGTCTTCGTTAATTTCTTCATTTTCTCTCTGTTGCTTTCCAGC